AGAGAAAAACCTAAAAAAAAAAAAAAAAAAGAAAGTGAGAAAGCAAGCTGCCAGGTCTGGGACTCAAACCACGGTCAGTCATGTGGGAGTCCATCTGCCTTAACCACCACACCACCTTCTAGTCCCTTGTTTTAGTTTTAATCCAGTGCCACAGGTTATGTAGGTTGATGTGTAGTAACTTTTACAGTTCATGTTACCCTTACTTGATCAACATAGGACAAGTACAAAGGATTTTTAAAAGTTAGACTAAAAATTTGTGTAGCCACATAAATTTCATACAGATAGAACATCAATATGATCTAGTTTTCTAGACCAAGAGATGCATTGCTTGCTTTGTAGGTTTTTAAAAAGAGAATTCTAAAACATAGTCATATGCATTTTGTATACATGGAAAAACACTATTGTGTATCATATTCTGTGGAACCTTTTACTGTTTAAATGATTAAGAGATAAATTGTTTATTTTTTAGTCCATTGTAAAGAGAATTTCAAATAGGTAGTTTTTGTTTTTGTTTTGTATCTTTTTTAAGAGAGATTTTTGCTAGCCAGAGAGACAGAGAGAAAGTGAGAAATCACCCCCCACGGGGGGTGGCCTCCTCCATTTGGGCATGCAAGCACACATACCTAGTGTGTTTCAAGCCACCGGGTCCAGAATTTGAATCACAGTTAGCCATGTGGGAGCCCAGCAATGTAACCATTATGTCATCTGCCGGTCCCCAAATAGGCAGTTTTAAATGTATACTTTTGCTAGAATTGATAAAGACTTGTTTTATTAAGTTTTGATATAAGTGGATAGATACAGCATAAGAAAAATGTTGAGAATTCATGTGTCTCATGTCCAAATTTCTTCTTTTTTTTTATTTTAAATTTCTTTACTGTACATTCATCCACTGTGGATCATTACAGCATAAAAAAATGAGTTTTTCTACCCAGAATACAGTGTATGTTGACTCAGTCAAGGATATTATCATACATGTCATCATCAACAAATAATTTCCCATTTCTAGTTTCTTAAATGTTTTGCTTCCTCTTTTCTTTTCCCCGATTCCCTCCCTCTTGCCCTCTGCCATTTGCCACCCTCCTCCCACACTGTCTCTGGTATCAACAGTTGCTTGCTTAGAATTAATTATTCTCTGAACAATCTCCTTTTCCTTTGATTTATATTTTTCTTATTTTAAAAATTTTTTGAGAGGATTTTGCTATAGGGTGCGTGTGCTTGCCAGGAAGATGGAGAGAAACAGAGAGACAGAAAGTGAGAAATCACCCACCCCCCGGGTGGGGGGTGGTCACACCACAATCCTTTCTCCTCCATTCTCCTCTTGGGATCTTGGACACGCACGCACACGCGCCTGATGTGAGTCTAAGCCACTTGAACCGCGGTTGACTACATGGGAGTCCAGCGACATAGCCATTATGCCAACTGCTGGTCCTGATTTATTCTTTTCAACATAAAAATTAAGACAGTATAAAAATAACTTGGCTTTTAAAAGTTACCTTTATTTATTTACTACTATACTAGTTTGTAGGTGTGATTCAGTAAAAGTGAGAGTGACTATCAAGGTCCATTATTATTTTACAAATCCTATAACATAGATTTGTCATTATTTTACTTAATCTCATTTATGTTGCGTCAAGTAGTGACCAGTAGCTATACAGAAAAGGAGTGTATAGAATAACTCCTATTTTGCATATCAATATAGTTATCTTACTTAAATTGTATCCATTCCATAGATATTAAGTTAGGAATTTTAAAATGAAAATGAAAATTGAGAGCATTCTGAGGGGTGGTAAAAAGTTGTATTGCTATTTTTTAGAAGAATTATTTATTTAATTTTATTTATTATTATTTTTTAATTTGACCAGAGAGAGCCAGAGAGAAAGAAAGTGAGAAAGCAAGTCTCCAGGTCTGAGACTCGAATAGCTGTCAGTCACATGGGAGTCTAGCACCTTAACCACTGTGTCACCCTCCACCCCCTATATTGCTATTTTTATTCAATTTTATTCTTGGATTTATGATTTCAGCAGTTCTCTTTTATAGCATCACATACTAACTTTTTCTAAATATTGTATTAAATAGAAATATTGGTGCTATTTTTTTTTGGATAAGGAGATTTAAATAGGTTTTTCATGTTTATTTGATTTACATATTTCCATTTCAGTGATTTAGGAAGTTTCTGTGGAAAATAGTTATATAAAACATATCAAATATGATAAACAGAGTAGATGCTTTCATCAAGTAATTTTTTGTTTGCCTTTTATTTTGTTTACTTATTTATTTAGAAATATTTTTGCTCTTGAGTGTGTGTACTCTCCAGAGACACAGAGAGACAGACAGAAAGTGAGAAGTCCCCCCCAGTGGGGATGGCCATGCCACAATCCCTTTTTCTCCATTCTCCTCTGGAGACTTAGGGAATATACACACACACACACACACACCTGGTGTGAGGTTGAAGCCACTGGGTCCGAGACTTGAACCGCGGTTGACTACGTGGGAGTCTATCAACATAACCATTACTCTATCTGTTGGTCCCTCAAGTAGTTTTTTAAAAGTATATTTATTTTTTAGATAAATACATACACACACACACACACACACACACACACACACACACATGCATGTGCCCCCAACAGGGTCTTCCTTCCTTAGTACGCCCCCTGCCTCAGCCAGCCAGAATTGAGGGTGCATGTGCAAAGCCAGCGTGTACAGGGAGACCGCGGGGTGTGACCTGAGACCTTGCCATGTGGCTTCACCCTGTGGAGCGTTGCACTACTGCTGGGCCTTCGTGGCTGACCTCAGGTAGTTTTCTTAAGATTTATTTGATAAATGTTTAATTTATACAATGTGTTTTTCTTTTGCTTTAGGAAAATGATTTGAATGAGACTCTTAAATCACTCTATAACCACCCAGTACCAAAGGCAAACACTCCTGTCAGTTTGAGTGTGGTAAGTATTTAATCAGTAATAGCTTTTTTGTAGTGATATGTTTCTCATTTATGAACACATATACATTTAAGAAGTTATTTGCCAAGTCACTTTGGCTGCCAAAAATTTTTAGTCCTAGTAGTAATATTACCAAGTGATAACACTGAGACTTTCTGACATGTACAACTTCACATTAGGTATATATTTTGGTAGTTGCTAAGCTACAGTATAAAGAAATGATAAATCAAACGTAACTGAGTTGGTAGGTATACTTTGTTTATAAAGAACTTTGATGTTTAGGTAAATCCATGCATTATAAAGGAATACACACGCCGACTCTCTCCCTCAGTCACTCACTAACCTCCTAAAGTGAAAACAGTACTCGATAAAAAATAGAAAATGGCGTAGAGCATACAAGTATATATGATAAGTCTGGATAAAAGATTGCTTCTTTTGCTCCACACTGTAATATGCCTTCTAGTGTAATCATAGAACACTGGAAATGTGACCGAAGTTGTCAGAGCAGCAAGCCTGTGGTGAGACAGATTGTTTACATGGAAATGTTTCGTGGACTGCACCATATATTTCTAAAAACCCATATTTGGGGGGTTCTTCACATTTTCAGAGTTCATTATCATAAAATATGGATGTTTTCTTTAGTATTCCTTATTAATTTGTCATACTGAATGAAGTATTAAAGTTGATTTATATTAATTTTGTTTTTTTCCCAAGAAAATAAACTTTTATTAAAAAAGAAAAAATACAGTAATTCAAGAGAATGTGGAGAAAGAATAACTTGAAAGACTTGTAGTGATAGGTGTATCATATTTGTGAGATAAGGAAGTTGTTATCCTTATTATATAATTTCTCTGATAATTCCTTCCTTGCCTAAATTTCCTCCTGTAATTTAATATCAGCGTCCCCTTACCTTATTTCATTCTTTAAATTCTCAGTGTCAGCACCCAAGCTTAGGTGCTCAGAACTTCAAATACCCTTAGTCTGGAGTCTCTCCTTCCAGTCCTTTTTACGAAAGATTATCAGATTAAACTTCCTTAAACCATATGAAGTATCTTGCTACAGACCTTCTGAAGCTCCTCTGGGGCCAGCAGGTGGCATGGTTAGGGGCGCTGGATTCCCACATGACCGACCCTGTTCGAGTCCCAGACCTGGTGGCTTGCTTTCTGACTTTCCCTTTCTGTCTTTCTCAGTCTCTCTCTGGTCAAATTAAAAAAAAAAAAAAGTAATAAAAAATGGAATTAAATAAATAAATAATTCTTTAAAAAAAAACAAAAAGACAAAACCTCCTGAAGCTCCTCATTTTCTATAAAATTAGTCCAAACTGTTGGCCAGGCTTTCAGGACCATCTGTTTCTTAGCTTCAATCCAATTTTTCGTTTTTCTGTTTCATTGTATTTTCCTCTGGTCATAGTGCTCTGTTCAGATTCTTAAATGAACAACCTGCTTTTCTTTTGCAGTCAAGCCTTTTGTAGACAGAGCCTTTAGTCTAGAACTGCTAAGTTCCCACCTTTGTCAAGTCTCTTGTCGTTCAGCATGAAGTGTGCTTTCTGTCCTGCCTTCTCCGCTGCTTTCTGTCTGCATCCGCTGCTGAAGGGAATGCTTAGTCATTTGGAGACTGGGAGATGGAAAGCCACGGATGACCTAGAATTTTTAGCCCCAATCTTAAAATCTAAAGGAGACATGGTTGTAGCTATTTAAAGGGTAGAATGTAAAGAGCCTAGAGCAGAGACTGAGCTCTGAATGCCCACATAGGCTCTTTGTGAGGAGGAGACAGATTTTCTCAGTGGAAAGAGCAGGTAAGAAGAAACTCAGTCTTACAGGTTATTTGAGCCAAAGCATTGCCAGATGATGCTCCGTGGAAATGCAGAAAGGTTAAGGAAAAGTCAGGAACAAAGAAAAGCTCTGATTCCCCCGCCCCGCCCCAAAGAAGCTACATTTCTTTAAAAGTAAGGCATTTATAGAATGATTCTAACACTTCGTTAGAGAGTTAAGGAAAATAGATGTGCTAAGCAAGATAATAGAGAAAACTATTATACAGCATTAATGAGAGATAAAAATATGTTGTTTAAGATTGAATATCTTATTATCTGAGGAGTAAATAAGTTACAAAAATACACCTCAGAATACTGGGTATTGGATCACTTTACCTTTATTAAAAGGATGATAAAGATTTCTAGGCCTATTTACCTAAAACTAGAAGACTTTGGGGACCAGCAGTTGACATAATGGCTATGTCACTGAACTCCCTTGTAGCTGACTGCGGTTTGAGTCCCGGACCTGGTGGGCATGCCAAGTATGTGTGTGTGCCTGCCCAGATCCTGAGAGAATGGAGAAGGGACTGCAACATGACCATCCCACCTGGGGGGGGGGGTGATTTCTCGCTTTCTGTCTCTCTGTCTCTGTCTTTCTGGCTAGTGCATGCTCCCTAAAGCAAGAAAAAAAAAAGATTTTGTTTTTTATGGTGCCAGATTAAAATTGATGATCATAGAAGTTTTTTTCCTGATAAGTTGGACAGTGGATATCTCTCATTTCACAAAATGATAATACTTCGGGATTTTTTCTAGCATAAAATCAACAAATCAGTGTTTAAAATAATATTTATAGTTGATGTTATTCAAATATTTACATTGGATCGTATGCCTGTATGAGTTTGTCTCAACTGCACAGCAAAGGGGTGCGTAAGCTTTCCCCATGAAAGTAAAATACTCATTTTTCTCTCTCATGTATTGTAAGAACCAAGAGATATTTATTGCCAGTGAGCAAGTTCTGAAAGATCAGCTCTCTTTAGTACCGGTGAGTTGAAAGGACATTGGCTTCTAAAAATCACTATCAAATTGGAAAAAATAATGATTTCTATCACCTGTCTTTGATTCATTCTGGTATCTTGGGAAATGGTAAATTTGACACTTTCAAGAAAATTAATCATTTGGAGTATATTTTCTGTTTATACTATCTTTAAAACATAGTTGTTTCTTTTTTTTTTTTCCTCTTTAGGTTTTTGTCATAGGGCGTGTATATTCGCCCGAGAGGCGGGGGGTGGGGGGGTGAAATCACCGTCCAGGGGGAATGGCCATGCCAGAATCCCTTCTTTTCATCCTTTCAGGATTTTTGGGCACACACATGTACCCAGTGAGATTTTTCAAGCCGCCAGGTCCAGGGCTTGAACTGCAGTTGGCCTCGTGAGAGTCTAGTACCTTAACCACCATGCCACCTGCTGGCCCCTAAAGCATAGCTTTATGAAATACACTACTACAGTATTTAAAACTCTCTCAAATAAAAGTAGCTAATAGAGTTCAAATCTGTGCATATTTTCAATATTTAGTAGTAGTAATTTTAAAGTGCATTCACAGAAGATTTCTGGCACATTTTTTGTCACAAGATTTCAAGAAATCTCGTGATTTATCTATTATTCTTCCACTCTGGAGATTATATGCTATGATTGAGTTAACTAGCCTTGTTCTGACTAGTTCAGCTGTGCTGAAATATTGGCTGGAAAGTTTTTTAAATTTTTAATTATAAGATAGTATTAAGTATGTTCTTTTGTAATTAAGACATTAAAATAATTTTGGAGATTGATATGAACAGAAAATAAAGCATTTTTTGATGATTGAGTTGCATTTTGATTGCGGGTATGAAAATTTGGAAACATTGGAATCAATGAAGCCATGTGCATGATATACTATAAGAAAATATCTTGGTGAGCTGTTGCATCACTTTGAACTTCAGAGAAGCCAATTAGTATTCGTTTAGTGGACTTGTGAGGGCTATATTTTGAGAAGATGAGTACATTTTAAAGATCTTTCAAACATTAAAAATTGTTCTTTTTACTGCTTTCTAAATAATATAGTGGTTAATGTTTACAAAAGGGGTTTGTTGTGACTTAGCATAGAAAATCAGAAATCTCAATTGAATTTTTTTGTATATTCTTTGATTAGGAAACTTATTTTTCAGTCTAACTAAACTAAATGTGTTTTAGGAATATACGTACGTATATATTTTACATATTAGAAACCTTTCGTTAATGTGCTTTTTTTTCCAGCATTCCTAAACAAAATATGCTTTATACACACACACACATACACACACACACACACGTATATATATACACGCACATAATCATGGTCACTTAATAATGGGGATAGGTTCTTAGAAATGCATTATTAAACAAAAAGTTGTGTCATTGGGCAGACATTACAGAGCACACTCACACACAGATATTACACACCTAGGCTCTATGCAAGCTTATTACACTATTAAGGGACCACTGTTGTGTATGTGATTTGTCATGGACTGAAATGTCACTAAATGGTGCAAGACTGTATAAATAAATACACACAAGCACATGTGTATATACACATGCACCCACACACCTTCTGGTTTGCCTTAGCCTTTTTTCTCAAGATTCTTATTTCAGTTTTAAAGTGAAATGCTTTTGACTGCTATTTCAATTATATGAGAAAGCTATAACATTTCGTGTAAGTCTGGCTATCTCATGTAGGAATCTCTTAAATGCAACAAATCTTATGTGTCAGTCCATGGCATTTTTTAATTTAGTTGATGCATTTTTTTGTATTTTTATCCCAAATTTATATGGGACCCATGCCACCCAATTTTAATTATCTTTCTCTGCTGTGATTTATTTGTATTGATTAGCATTCCTACTTCATTGCCCCTGATGTAACTGGACTCCCAACAATACCTGAGAGTGTAAGTTTTCTCTTTTCTACTTTATTATTCTACTTATATTGTGAATTTTACTGACTTGGTCTCATTGCTTATGGATTCTTGTACAGAGATAAGGGCAATAGGGTGCATTGTAATTTTCAGAAATAATGAGAAAATAAGGAATAATGGTGTTATTGCCATCTCATCATGTATCTGTCCCCTTATAAGCTTCCTAATATTCCCTGTAGATAAGAAGAATTAAAGGCAGTGCTATGAGAAAACTGTTCTTATCATTTGGAGTTGGTAGGGCCATGTATATTCAATTAGAGCCGGAGTTCTACCTGTCTCAGGTAGAGGCACTATCTCAGGACGACTTCTGCTGGCAGGTGAGAATACTGTCAACGGGAAACGTCTTCACACCCACAGTTCCTTCAGTGAACTGACTGTAGTTACTGCAGACGTTTTTGTTTGTAACTCTGTTTAAATCTTAGATATCCTGGACTTGATTTCCTGTTTTTGATTTAAAGTAATACGTAACTTGTAAGGCTTTGTGGGTATTATAAAAAGTTTATAAAAACTGCTAAATTTGGCATTTTATTTAGAGTCTTAATCGTAGCCATTAGTAGCAATATTTTCAGTGTTTCAGTATGATGGCCAGTCCCTATTTTGTAGAAGTGTTGACATGGATAAGGCAAAGTATCAAATACACTTTTACAGAAGTGTTCAAAGAGGGAATAGTCCCTTATGTAATTTTTTTCAGCTTCGCTTGGAAAATTAAAATGAATCAGTAGAAATAATTCAAACAAAAGTGAAGGAAAAATCAACAGGGAAAAATATCCCCGGATATGCCTACTGTTTACCTCACAATTCCACCATTTTTCCAAATATGTTCTCAAACCTACTGAGTGTTTGGTTTCTAAAAGCACATGGGTGGTGAGTGGAATACATGAAGGCAGTCATCAGTCAACCAGAAGGACCATCGGTGGCGTTTTAGTCTGGATGAACCAGACAGCCCCTGTGGAGAGATGTGCCAAGATGCTCTTCATGTGGGCACAAACCAGGGCACCAAAAGACTTGGGAGATACCACAGACCCTGAGGCTTGATGGCTCTGCAGTTTGGGCCAGTCCCCATGTTCTGTCTTCCTAAAGGCTGGCTGACCATCCTTGGCTTCTATGGCCCTAGTCCCTTAACTTGAGGGTTTCTAATCCAAAGCCAAAGTGTGACTCCTATTCTCTCTCCTACTTACCGTTCTCTTACATTCACTAGCAAACAACAATTACACTGATTTAGCAATATTACTATTTCCCCCCCTTAGGTTTTTGCCATGGGGCTCATGTGCTTGCCAGAGAGAAAGAGAAATCACCCCCCAGAGGGGGATGACCATGCCACCATCCCTTCTCCTCCTGGGATGTTGAGCATGTATTCATGTGCCCAGAATGATTTTCAAGCCTCCAGGTCTGGGGCTTGAACTGTAGCTGGCCATGTGGGAGCCCAGGGCCTTACCCACCACTCTACCTGCTGGCCCCGTAATGTTACATTTTTTAAAAGGCCGTTATTTTGAAAGTTGTAAAAGAGACATACATTGTAAGGAAAAATTGCCACTGAGAATACACTTTTTTACATCTCTGTTAACACACTTTATTCTGCAAAAAGTCTCTTTTAGGGAAAAATCAAGGGCATAAACACAATGCAGCATTCTATGTTGAGAAATAATTCCCTATCTAAAAGTGAGCTTTGAGATTGTAGGGGAATATAGATGTCGCATACCATAAACGTAATTTCGAATAGGAAGAATTGAGTGGCAAGGTGAGGTGGGCTTCCAGTAGAGAAATCAGGGAGCGGACCTTCCCCCACCAGGTTGGGCCTCACTTACTGATAGCTATTGGTTCTGCTCTGCTCTCTTACTGGTTTGTCCTGATGAAGCTTCTACCTTTTGCAAATCAAAGAGACAGTTGGATTTCTTGTTTGCTTTTTTGTCCAACTAAAAGTTTTAGCTTTTAGATTGTAGTCCTCCTGACACTATAATTTCAGTTTATTATCATTATTTCATTGCTCTCTGATGTGTGTAAGTTTGATTACAGATAACTAGAAATAACAATTAATTAGAAACAAACAGTATGGAGAGGATCTGAAAGTCAGAATCAATATAGTGTATCTCAGTTTTGTTCTCACGGCAGAATGATAATTTAACATGCTAAATTGAGGAATCGGTTTAGACATTATCAAGCTACAGTTGCATGTAGTGGTATACATCATGCCTGATTTGAGGTATAAACAGGGATTTTCCTTAATTGAGACCCAAAGACTGCCTTATAAACCCACCATCGCTGGGCGCCTTGGGGGTCATGTGTAGGGCCAGAGAGTGATTTTGCCCGCAGAGTGAGTGACCAGAAAAAGCCTCCAGTAATATTTTCTGGGCAGCCATTTCTCAAAGAGCAGGTGTAAGGACCACCAGGAGTATTGGTGTAACCCTCAGTTCCTGGGGCCATACTCTGAAAATCCGGATTCAGCAGGTCTAGGTTGGGGCCAGGGAAACCAGCTGCTTTGCAAATACTCAGGGGTCGGATGTGGGATCCTCAGTTTCCCTCGGAGAAACCCTTGCCTGCAGTAGAGTTACGCGTCCAGTCCTAACAGAGTAGGACGCGTTTCCCGTGGCAGTGGGACAGTGTCACATTTAATTATGTTAATGAACCCAGTTTTCATAATAGTTCCCTTGAACTAGAAGACTTTCGGTCAATACATACAGTGTTTTCCTTTGCGTTCGCCACAAGCTGCAACTCACACAGTTATCCTTGACCTGCACAGAGAAATCTCACAGAGTATTTCGTCGCCGTGGACGTGAACAATATGCTGCAGCTGTACGCCAGCATGCTTCACGAAAGGCGCATCATCATCACCGCCAGCAAATTAAGCACTGTAAGTACTTCGCACTTTCCTTCTCAGGCGGCAAGCACTGAGTGCACACAGAAAGACCTAAAAACGCGCACAGGTTTAGGCCTGGGCTCTGTGTACTTACAAGACAATATCTACATACTATTTCTGATATATGGTTTTAATCTGCCTCTCCAAGTACAAAAGTCTGATTTCTAGAAGGTCTTCTCAGATGCATTAAGTCTGGTTAATTATTTTTTCTTATCAGGAGATGAGAGTTGTTATTTTTTTTTCCCCTCTTTTTAACTCTCCAGAGTTCATTTTAGTGACTGCTACCGTATAAAGAATTCTTAAGAGCTATTATGAGATCTTTATTATTCACTTGTGGCTTTTTCCATTGGAGCTACTTGAAAGAAATCAAGGGGCCATGAGAATAGCTGCTATCCTAACCTGGTAATAGGTAGATTCATCTCTGTTGCCAAGTAGTGGTTTGGAGCAGGGGCTATAATAGTTCTGATTTGGAGGAGCTCTTCAGACTGCTAATAACTTAAAAGTCAAAGTAGCATTTTTTATAAATCACAGGTTTTATGACACTCACTAAAATGTTCTCATGGAAGGTCTTCATTACTGTGGTAAAGGCAGTGAGAAGAAAAAGATTTTTTTCATGGGTGGGTCATAGAAAAAAATCAAAAGTATTTTGCTAGTTTTATCATTTTTTTCACCTTTAAGCATTCAAAACTCATTTTCAGCTTTTAATTTTTGATAAATATAGGTTGAGTAATCTATGAGATATTTATTAAAAATCATTATGTAATATTGCATGCTTTTTTTCTCTCTACAAATTTCTTTAACTGATTTAAAAACCTATATTTTTAAATGTTTTATTCCTCTCTAGTAGAAATAGAAACCTTATTTTATAGTATTTTGACATTTTAGAGTCGAAAGAGTTTTAGGGTTTCTCTAGGATATTTTGTCTAAGAATGTGTTTTCAGAGAGATTATATTGACACCAAGACCCAACAGCTAACTGGAGACAGGTAATGTGAACCCAGGTCTCCTGCTCCTAAATTTTGGGTCCCTTCTATTACTTTACTATTAAAAATTACAGTTTTGAGATTTTAAATTATAATATTGGTGTGCACACTCTCCCCCAAAATTGAAAATATATTTTGGATATCGAAAAACAAATTTAAGAGACATAGTGGGAAAATGACATACATAGCCGTATCAGGGAATAAATAGTGATGCTAATAATTATTTGTTTTCTTCTTATGCCTCTGAAAGAGATGTCGAGAAAATCATTCTGACTCGTCTGTTTCTTTATGTGTGTACTTTGTACTGTTTTTAAATTCCCATTGCAGTAAAGCCATTCCTCCTCCGCTGCCTCTTGCTCCTCCTCCTCACCTTTACAAATATTTTTCCTTAAGATTATAAAAGCTGTTCCTCTGAGGGCTTTGTCCTCAGACTGCACAGACTGGGACTGGACAGGGTGCGGGAGTGCCACAGCTGAACCCCCACGGAAAGGTCTGCGTTTGTGACCCTGGGCCTCCCTGTACATGCCAGGCAGATGCGTGTCTGTGACCCTGGCTGGCAGGGCAGAGGGAAGAGTGCAGCGGGAAGACCCTGTTAGGGGCAGTTGTCTCTCTCTCTGTTTTGACTTTTGTCATGGAAGAAATAAATAACATTTAAAAACAGATAAGGGGCACTATTAGTTTTTAAAAAAAGGTTGTAGGGCTAGGAACTAATCCTTTCTAGGATTCATTCATGAAATGAGTATCTATGAGTCACATACTATGTGCCAGGCACTCGCTGGGCACTA